TTACTGGCAAACAGAAAAGCAGACGAGAATTATATTTTTGTTAGCAAAAACGAATTGAGAAATGAAAACAGAGAATGAACCGCTGCAAAGATCAAGTTTATGAAAACCTGCAGGCAGGTGATCTGCTCTATGTTTGTACTGAGATAGTGACCAACCCAGGGATGGAAAACAGAGTTTCTTTGTTAAGAATTTAAGAAAACAAATATATTTTCATTGATGAAAACAAATTGGGAAATAATTTTATCCCTCACTTGGAAGGTTAAATAAGAATGAATTTCACTTAACAGGTCAGATGTACTGTACAATTAAGGCTGGTGGTCTGGTTTATATTTTCACTGGACAAAGATAATTCCAGGAAAATAGAAAAGATTCAGAGAATTAAAATTAATGACTAAAATAAAACACTGCTTGTCCACCTATATGCTTCAAAAATTAGATTTGTCACAAAAACAGTTATTCATCCCCTGGAAAGTAGGAGGGTAGGAGGGAAAAAGAGAATTTGTCACTGCCAGTATGGAGTGGCAGTATGAGAAGTGAAGTGAAGTAGGTGGGAGTTAGGGGAAAGATCTATCCCTGTAACTATTCCCAAGGAAGGTGGATAAGTCTCCAAATTTGGAAAGTTGATTATGGAAGTAGAAATAGAGAACAAAGAAAGCCCTTATTAGAATTAATGTGAAAACTAAATGATCAACGAATCCCAAGAACCCTTTATCTCTACACCAGTTTTGGATCAAAGTACATATAAGCAGATGACTTTGGGGAGCTCAGGGACTTGGGCTGAGAAGCTGCATAGAGTGCCTCTGAAATCCACGTCAGCTGCCACCAGAATTCCTGATTCTAAGACTGAGCCAAGTCTTCCGAAGTTTAGATTAGGCCCAGTGTCACTATAGAGATTGATGAAGGAAGGGTTAATTTTGTTGTACCAAGAGCTATATAAACTAACTGAAGATTAACTCCCTGAATCTCTCGTCTTAATTTGTGAAGATATTTTTTTCCTTAATATAGCACTAGATAAGGCTTGACCAATGCTGTGAGACTATGACCTTTGATTATACATTGCTCTGAGATCAAAAAGACAACGTGGGCAGAGGCAGTGTGGATTGAAGCGTCCAGTGACCAACAACCAGCATTGACCAATACAGAGTTAGCCCATGGTTAAAGCGTTGTCTTAAGACCCTGAGGACCGGACCGCTAAGCATGGTTACACCACTGGGTGTAGGCAGCAAAGCCAAGCAATAAAAGCCAAATAAGTTTTATTATATTTCATCATTTTTCACACTCACAAGAGCTAGAGATGACGATCATTATTAGCCTACAAACTTTGAAAATAACATTCTTATTTTTCAAAAGGCACATTTACTATTCCATCATCCTGCCCATTTATATTTTCTTTGAGTCAAATTTTATTCTCAAACTTGTTATTTTTGGCAACAATTTAGTCAAATGTAGTTTACACATATTGACACAGGATGTGTAAAGTATCTATTTTTTCAGCATGAGTTTACCCTGCTGACTAGAGATCAAAGGACTTTTACTTTCAAAATTGACATGGGAATAAAAAATTTTTCAATTGTACAAAAAAAAAAAAAAAAAAAAAAAAAAAAAATTTTTTTTCAAGATTTTACTAAAATGTATTTGATTAGTGTAAAATAATTCATTATTTTCCTTTCAACTACAAATTCAATGAGTGTGAATTAATTTATCTTTGATAGAGATGTTTACTCTTCTATGATGCCTCTTATCTTTGAATGAGGGTAGCAGCTAGAAGATATGCCTTCATATTTTTTCTCCCTTTCTTTAGTCAACTAGATGAGAAAATACAGAAGTAACTAGGAAACAAACCACCATTCACAACAATTGCCAAATATAACTGATGACTGAAAAATCATTTTTCTTGAAGGACAATTTTAGCTTGTAAAAAAGCCAGATACCTGTAATTTAGCATTTTAAAAAAAGGGATGTGTGTGCAGCCCAATTTAGAAAATTCCAAGATTTTTCAAGGAGCTTTTGGGTTATTTTTGTTTTTCCAGGACTTTTCAATCACTGGAAAAGGTCCTGTCAATTTTCCAGGACTTTTCAAAATTTCCAGGACCTGTACCAACCCTCCAAATCTTACAAGGGGAAAAGCAATAGATGTAATTTATGCCTTGTGGAAAAATTAGTTATCTAAAACACTTAACCTTTACCTCACTAAATTCTTTCTAGAATTGTTTCTCCTACCACTGTATTTTTTTAAAAGGCACAAAAAACATGACCACTTACAGTTTTAAAACTATTATAACTTTGTATTGCATGAATAGATTTTATTTTTTGAATACTAATAAAAGAATGGATGAGTAATATTTTGATGTAATGCATTATGCTTTACAGTCAAAAATTTAAAAAAATTGAAACACAAAATAAAAAACAAATACATTAATAATTCAACATACTTTAACTTTTATTACTCCTTGTAGAGTTCTGGGGGTGCAATAAGAAGCAAAATGGCTATGAAGGCTTTCATTTTGCCAAAAGTGACATCCTTGCATGTGTTTACATATAAGGAGACACCAGCATTTGTTTGCTCTAATTCACCTTCAGAAAGGCTATCAGGTACATCCATGGGGCCAGTAATCAGCCATGGATGATAGTAGCCACTCAGTACCTAGTGGTCATCATCACTTTCCTCACATCATAAGCATAGTTATCATCTCCAACCACTTCACCATCAATACCCACTTGAGTAAAGCCTTCAAAATCATTATTGAAGTATGAATCAAAGAAAAACTGAATAAAAGCTTCATCAGATGTTGATGCGGCCATTTTTGTTTACAAATCACAAAAAATTTAATGTGGGTTTAACTGATGTTACACCTCATGTAGGAGAATTGTTCCAAAGCAGTAGTAGGCTATTTCCAGCTTAAATTACCAGAAATAAGTTTATTTATAGCAACCCTCTTGAGGCAACAGAATGCGCCCAGAGCAGCAAAGGGAGAGAAGTGTATGCCAACAATTTTTGCCTCCAGATAGATAACGATTAAATTAGGTCCATTTATTTTAATACAAAAATTAAAAGAAAAAAAAAAAAAATACAATTAATCCTCTTTTATTTTAAATAAAATAAAGCTTTTAATCCCTGTTTATTGTAAATATAAAACATAAATCCCACCTATCTTAAATACAAAATATTTTTTTTTGCATTCATAATAGATTTTTAATACAAAATTATATATATATATTAGTTTTAGGTCCTTTAATTTTAATATTTTTTTTTTAATAAATACCCTTAATCCCTGTTTATTTTAAATATAAAAAAATATGAGGGATAATATGTATATTTATTAATATATACATAATAGCTGTTATATTACTTCTAGCACTATTTTATTAACACCAGCACTCAATGTGCGATTATATATATATATATATATATATGTGGAAGGGGAATAAGTAATTCTGAAAAGAATTTACTTATGGTTTTATACCAAAAAGGGTACAGTGCTCCATGCCATGGTAGAGTAATGGACAGCAGCTCAGACTGAGGAATCGAAGAGCCGAGTTCGAATTCCAGTCGAATCCATTACATTCATCTACGTGCTAATACCCTTGGGAAAGGTATGAATCCTCTTCTCCCTCTAGCTATGGGTAAAATAGCAGGGCAGACCGGGCTCTATAGCCTTGGATAGCAACTGATCTACAGCAGAAAGAAATGGCAATCTACTGTGGGAAAAAAAAAAAATCTGTCTCATCAGTCATGTATTGGAAGATACATGATCGCCTAAATGTGTATCACGCAGAGCACATGACTGCCTGACTGCTCCATGCCATACAGTGGTAGAGCTAAATTTTATTAACTAAATTCGGGTAAAGCAGCTGTCAGTTTCATGCACAGCACACAATCATCAGGCAGTTGGTGTCTGCGATCAAAAATAGCACCTTTATCAATCCAGGCAGCTTCAAGATGGCAAGATTCATAGTCGATAACACTGCCCAAACTTGCATGAGAAGGAGGAGAGGAGGAGGAAGAAGAAGAAAAAAAAAAAAAAAAGAAAGAAATTTTTTTTCTTTCAGAAAATGGTATTCCAGCACAAGAGAAAATGCTCAATGCTAAGAGGAGCAAAAGAGACATGATGGAGAGGCTTGCCTTTAAGGCTAACAAAGACAATCTTCAAAGAGAGAGAAAAAAAAAAGGAGAAAGAGAGAACTGTCTTTTGGTTAACATTTTTGTGCAAACCAGTATACAAGGGTAAATCAAAAGAGTAAAGGCAATTTCCATACACCTTTGTTTCCACTGATGAACAACAAATGCATATGTCATTCTTTGACATTGTCCCCCTACATGGCGATGCACTCATCAATGATTTTCTTCATCCCTTCTGAAAAGAAGCTTTTGGGTTGCTCATGGAGCCACATCTGCACTATTTTTTTGCTCGGGTACCCAAAGTCATTATACACTATGGCTTGTGCAGATCTATTGCTAATGCTTATGAATGCCACCACTTGTGCTAATGTGATCCATCATTCTTCCCTCATCAAGGCATCCACCTTCTAGATGCGTTCTTCCAATGTTGATGAGTGATTAGTTTTTTTTGTCTGTTACACGTGTTCTTTCCACCTTAAGGCGTTCTACCCACTTATACACCTTTCAGTGATTCATGGTGCATGTTCCATGCTATGCATGACCTTTATCCATCATCCCATGTGCACATGTAGTTTTGCATGTCAGCACCTCCCTATTGTTTTACCACATAATTTCAAAATAACCATTACTTTCTGAGATCCTCTTGTATATAATGTTGATTTGTTTTTTGTTTTTTTAAATTAGTTTCTTTTCATGTTGAAACAAAAAGTTGTTATAGCACAAGTTATTCTCACAGGCCATTCTTAGTAAGTTCGTTCCTTGGTGGATGATCTACAATTGTACTAATCTTGATATAATAAGAGTAATTTGTAGTCTGCCAGCCATATATATCAATACAGAACTCACACATGATAAAAATAATTGAAAACAAAAGGCTTACTTTTGTTTATCAGGAACTTGTGGACTGCCTCGATACAGAAATTTTGGAGCAGGGACATCTGGGATTTCCTCTGGGCGAACAGTAGAGAATGGAACTAGTTCCTTATTTGTGTCTTCTTCAACCTCTCTATAATAAGATAAGGGAGAAGCAAGTTATGAGAAAAGAAAAAAAAAAAACATTTTTATAAATAATCATCTTTTCTGCTATTAAATTATACGAGGATAAGTAAAAAAAAGATTATCTGCAGTTTTGCCATAACATATCTTTAGGTTTGTCACACTGCCTTCTGCTCAAGTATGCTTACTGCTTGATGATGCTAGTTTTCTTGCTGTTGTTACAGTGTAAATATGGTCACTCTACTAGCAGGGTGCACCAAAGAGGAATAAAGAGCACTGATCTGGTTTCTCTGGTCGGACGGTGTGTCAGCTCATATTCATCACAGGCTTTTAACACAATACAGCGACAGTGCATTACTGTATAGAAGTGTGTATCAGTGGATTGAGAAATTTAAAAGTGGCCAGACAAGTGTGATGCAAGAAGAAGCAGGATTCCCATGAATCTCAACCACTGAAGAGAACATTCAGCAAGCTTGAGAGATGGCAATCGCAAACCTGGGAGTTATCATGGATGAAGCAGCATGTTCTTTGCAGATTTGAATCACTGCATTTTGTCCCTCCTTGGTGCACACTGCTAGCGAAATGGCCATGTTTAATCAGAGGAAGGAGTGACTATTTGATGCTCTAACTCAAAACTCCATTTCCATTGATCATAGATAAAACAAAAACTTTTATCATTTGAATGGAGTTGTATGTATGTGACTGATGGAAATTTGTAACCACACTTGAACTGCAATGACTGAAATTATCATCTGCAGTTAATTGGTTAATAATAAAAGGAGAAATATTTTCAGTTTCTTAAATATTACTGTCTAATAAAAATATAAAGGAAATTCTGTCAAATGGAGAATATTAACTTGTTCTTTGGAAATTTTTACATGTACACATTTTACAATGAGAAAGAAAAAACATCTAGTCAAAATGAGAAACCCTAATGCTTTAAAGTTAATAACTGTCCTTAGAGTTAAAATCATTTTTTTTTCTATTTTAACCTCAAGCATTCAAACAGTTCAAATCCACCATGTAAATATCAGCTCTCAATATTCAACATGCTGTAACTTGCCCTATGTATACTCTGCCATAATATATGATGACATCATCGCAAATAATGCAGGAAGCCAGGCAAACAATAAGACTTTGAGAGCTGATATTTACGAGGTAGATTTGGAAGTGTTGAATGCTAATGAGTTAATACAGATATGAACAACCTTTTCTGACTAGTGGCCGCATGAGATATGGCTCATCATAAAACAGTCCGCACTAATGAAAATAATTAAAAGTAATTTTTCATTGAAAGAGTATATGCGTAAGCATCTGTCAAGAAATGAGGAAGAGTTGATATTTTTTTATTTGAAGATATTTTTTGTATAATTTAAAAATAGAAGATTTTGTTGCATGTGATTTCATTCTAATCTATTCATTTGTAAATACAAAAAATTATCTTTTTAAATGAAAAAAAATATTTCAGAGAAAAAAAATTGGTACAAATATTTCCCCATTCCTAAAGCATAATATATATTTCCTAAAGCAAAATATTTTTTTTAAATGTATGATTTTCCATAATGAAAATTACAAATGGTTTAAAATGCTGACAATGGTAACTTTAATGAAAGGTTACAGAATGAAAGAAACATAATCATTATGCATGTGGTTCAGTTGAACTGTACCCACAATGCAGCAGGCATTAATAAATAAGGGAAGTTACTCAGAAATTTAATAGTTATCTCCCTTTGACACCTGCTTCTCTCAACTTCCTTACACAGAGAATGTGAGTGAACAAGTGAGAAAGAAACAAAACAAAAATTTAAAACATTATTTTCCTCATTATATTAGGCATGCCATTCAGAAAGTAAAACAGGCCACAGTTTGCCTATGATCAGGTTAATACCATGTTCCTTCAAAATGTGAGTAATTCTGATTCTCTACAGATTCTTGTGAATTGGCATGCAATTGTTGGGAAGATACTCTAATGGTTTCCTGTTGTCTTCTTTATGATTTGGAATTTAAAGTTTTCCTTCACTTAGATTGATTGTAACTCAAGACTACAAAGCCCAATTTACCTTGCTTTTTAGGCCATAGAGGATTGAAAGAGAGAGATTCATGCTTTTTCCAAAGACTTCAATCTTGAGTCAGCACAATACCTGCTTTCAATGTGGGCTTTAAATCTCTAAGGCTTCTTTTCTCATTATGTGACTACAAAATAACAGCAATCTCTTTCTCATTCCTATTCTCCTTAAAACCTTTTTTCTTATATAATCTATGCATGTTCTCCACACTTGTCGGTCAAAGCAGATTTGTTGATTCAAACAGTCTTCCATTTGTAAATAAACTGCTATATAGTGCAGTCCAGCACTTGTTCCTAAGGACATTTCTTTACCCCTTAATACCTTGGTCAGTTTCTAGAAAAGATTGTTATTACTATGGCCCATTGTATCTCTTTGTGACTTGATATGCTGTCTGTTACTACACTAGCCAGATACACCTGCTTAATTTTTAAATCCCGAATATGTCACTAACACCTCGGATTGACCTCATTTGCTGACAACCAGGCTTTCTGTCATCTTGTAGTCAATAGTCATTCTTTTGTTTTTGCTTTCAACTTTTTTTCCAAAGAAGTTTGTTCATTGATTCATTCATTTTCTACAGCTTATCAAAGCTTTGCTGGTTGTTTAAAGACAGAAATTATTTTTTAGATTGTAAGAACTTTTTTGGGGGAAATAGTAATGATTTAGTGATACAATTCATACTAATTAACCAATAGCTGGAGGTAGAAGAGATGGATCCATACCTTAACCAAAAGGTATTTGCTCATAAGTGAATATAATGAACACAACTGGAATTGGAACTTTGCTCTACACTTAACAATTCCAAGCTACCCACACATTTATATAAGTTTATAGCACCTGATATTCCTAAGTGGTCACTCACTTAGGTACTGACAAGGCTTGACATTGCTTAACTACAGTGATTGTACGGGAATTGGTGTTTCAACATGATGTGGTCGTATGTCCCCCAAATAATTTGTACAGTTTTACTATGGAATCTGCTATCAACACAGAACAACAGAGTTCCCAGCCTAATCATTGAATAAAATTCCCTGATAATTACTTGAAAGATTCTACTGAAATTTCCCAATTTTGGAACATCGCATAAAAGGCAGACAGTAGTAGGTGTGCTCAGGTACACCTAAAAAGATGAATGGAACAAGACATTTTTATTTAAGTTTTACTAATCATGGAGAATAACTATATTATGGGTCCTGACCAGGGGTCTCCACTGCAGTCAGTTTTCCACTGCTGCAATGTGGCTTCCTTGTACCTTTTCTATAAATAATTTCATGATAATTGTTCAGATGAGTTCTTCACTATAGCACCTAGACTTTATGAATTTAAGCACAGGACGAGACTGGTGGCAAGGTCTCATCAATTCAGTCGAATTGGTTAAGTTCTATGCTAACAGTTTCTTTTCTCATACTTCTTGCTTGTGGAACTCTTCCAGCTCCATACTTTCCAGCCAACTTTGATCTTCAAAAATTTAAATGCAATGTCAATCATTAACTACTATCTTCTTGATTACTCTTTTTATTTTCTCACTTTTTAATGTTTCTCTTTTTTCTTATTCTTTCAGACTCAGTAACACCTTGTGGCTTAACTGCATGGGGTGAAATGATTAAAAAAAAAAAATAATAATTTAAATAACATTTAGTAATTATTTTCAAACAATTTTCATTCTAAAGCATATAATAAATGTCATTTGATGCATATCAAACTGCATTAGAAAATTCCGTTTGTCCTGATAATTCCTTGATTTTTTTGTCTTTAAAAACCTGACAATTCCCTTTCTTTATTTTCCAGGTTGGTTGTGAACATTTTCAATGTTGTCTGCACTGTGTATGTCACTAAGATTACAAATGCCATTAATAAATCTTTGTATGTTTTCTGGTTCACTTAGAATCAGGTGCTGTACTGATTAGATAAAGCTTCTATTTTTGTGTATTCACCGAACTCATTCTCTATGTGCATGTTAGATGTTTGTTCCCAGTACAATACTGAGGCATTTCTATTTTTGTGCAGAGGAAATTAATCAGGCATTGTCACAGCAGATGCTCAGCTAAGAAAGCAAATTCATCAACTTACTTTTCCTCTTTCTTCTTTTTCTTCTTTTCTTTTTTCTTTTTCTTGGATTTCTTCTTCTTTTTCTTTTTTTTCTTTTTCTTCTCTGTCTCACTCTCTGAGGAAGACAGGCTGGAATCTGATGAAGAGGAGGAGGAGGAGGAGGTGGTGGATGCAGATTCACTCTCAGACACACGTTTTCTTTTCTTAGCTGGAAAACAAAAATAAAGCAATAAATTTAGACAAAACAAAAAACAGAAGATTAATGAAGTTAATTTAAATAAGTTTTATTTTTTTATTACAACTTACCGCTCTTTTAATATTTTTAATTCCTTAAACATGAAAATGTAAGAAATACACAAAATTACTCACCAATTAAGATTCATAACAGCAGAGAAAGTAAATGTTTTGATTTGTTTGATAAAAGTGCATTTATGGGATAACCTGACTGTATTGTGAGAGATTAAACAAAGAGTGAGCAAAAAAAAAAAAATCATTCACAAATTCTGTTAACTTGAAAAATGGACTTATTGTTGGGTTTTATGCACTTTGCCTAGAACAGATTGATTAAATGAAACAATTGGAATTACTGTACATACACGTGTATAAACTGACTTCATGTATAGGGCAACCTCCAAATTTTTTTGCATGGATTTTATATACTTGTGTCTAGTGCAACCAGTCGCCAAAAGTCCGTGATTTTTAAACTCTTAAAAAAAATATTTTGTGTATAATTTTTGCATTTGGGGGAGGGGGTTGTCAGCCATAAAAACTTGCACTATACTTGTGTATATACGGTAGGTTCAATTCTGTTACAATCAAAATTTTTCATTTCTTGTATTTAATAGATAAATTACCAAGTTATTACAAGTAGCAAGAATGCTATTTGTAATAACTTATATTGCTCCTTAAAAAAATGAGTGAGTATCTTTTAAGTATAGAAAAAAATAAAAAAAGGTCAAAATATGTTAAAGACAATGAGTGATGCTAGTTTTTTAACTGAAGTACTGACAAAACTAAACAAACTCCTTTTTTTTAATGAAATATTGATTACCTACAAGCATTGTTTTTTTTTTGTCCATGTTACTTTTATTCCATGTTGTAAAACAGTCTAATGGACTTGACTATATATATTCATATGCTGTTTACCTTTTGGTTTCATTTGCAGTACAAGTTCTCCACAATTGGCAACGCGAACTTGTTCAATCGGGCAGCTCTGATTGTTGGTCTTTTGGTTCTCAATTTCTTTAACAACCTCAGTACCATTAATTACATGGCCAAATACAACATGAACCCTACAGAAAAAATATGAATAGACAATAGAATAACGATTCTTTTGACATACAGGCATCAAAATGGGTCATTTCATAATCATTTTTTTTTTCATTTCAAGACGGAAAACCAGCAACTCATTTACTTCCTTAATATTAAATATTTGGCTCATGAAAAATTTTTTCATTGTCTCTCATACACATAGAATGTAACTAAATTACAATTCAATGCCTGGAGATATGAAGAAAAACATTTGAAGTCCTCTAAATATGCAAATAAAAAAAACAACGTCTGGTTCCTATTCACCAAGTGTTACATGTAGATGATCATAAATGACTTGCGGCAGAGGGATGTACATATAAAGTAGAAAAGTTAATTAACAAAAGTGAATTAGAAATATTATCTTACCTGTCCAGACTGAAAGCAAAATCAAAAGCTATTAAATAAATGCAAATATACTTACAAAACAACACCACCATCTTAAATATTCAACATTTTTTTCTCTCCAAGTGACAGCATTTTGTTTATTCTTTTTAAATGTGACATTTTCAAGTTTGCAGATAATTATACAAGATATTTTTTTTAGCAATTCTGTCTTCTAATTTTGAAAAGAGAATGAAAAGAGACGAGCCATTGAAGAATTTTATCTTTTTACATTTTTTTTTCTTTTTTATCACTTTTATATGTATTAAAGAAACAAACCTGTCCTAAAAGGAGTTTAACTAATGCACAAAAAGATTTTGCTTAAATTGGATCACTTAATTGTATCCTTGCTGCTATCACAATGCATCTGCCAATCCATTCTTTAGCTCCTGCTGTGTTAACAACAGCAAGTAAATGAAGATGAGATTCAGTCACCCAAGCAATATCGGTTGTTAATATAGTATTCTGCTTCAAGTTCTCTATATATGGGGGTGGGAACTCCACCTACAGGTTTACTATTTTTAATCATGATTCTTGTTCAGAAATTTTTCACAAAGGAAATAATCAAAAGATAATTTCTCTCAGACCTAACTCAATAAGTTAACATCCCAATTTGTTTAAAAATCTTTAAATCAGTCATGTTAAAAGTACAATGCTTAAACTATCCACTTCTCTTGCATACACATAAAGCCTGACATTACTAGACCAAGCAAATGTCTATCATGACATGACACTGCTAAATATGTAATTAAGCTACCAGTTTATATTAATTAGATAAGCCAGAATAAAATTCTGAAAGGGCTGACTAATCCTAATTTGTTTATTATTAATAATAATAATAATAATAATAGGACAATCTGCTAGTCTAACATGAACAATGCTAACCCAGTCATTAATTTTAATTTTTTTGTTCACTACATGAAGTTATTCATTATAACTTGATTCTCCAGAAAAAAGTTTTTTTTTAAGCTGAATTCAAGGAAAAATCCGCCCAAGTCTAAATATCAATTGAAATACATAGCTGATGAACATTCTTAAATAGCCTCATCAGATGTAGGCTTTCACATAAATGTCATACAGAAATGTCGAAACTCATCTTTATATAGACCCATTTTCTCAAAGGTTATCATGATCAATGGTTAAAAATAATGCCAAATGAATTACTCTCACAAATCTTAAGGACAACAGGTAAAATAATGATTTTAATCAAACTTAACTTTTCCCCTCTGTAAAAAAAAAAAAAAAAAGTTTGGAAAGAAATTCACATTAATATTAGAAAGGGCTATAACGTTTAATAGACTTGAAGAGTGTAATTTCCTGGAAAACTGTAGAAAAAAAGAAGAGAGGAAGGAAAAAAGATGGAGAAAGGAAGAGGAGGAGAAAAAGGAGGAGCAGAAAAAGAAGAAGGAGGAGCAGAAGAAGAAGGAGGAGGAGGAGGAGGAGCAAAAAAAAGAAGAATGAGCAGGAAAAAAAGACAAAGAGATTTTATAAACTGACAGTAACACAGTTTGGTCACTAAATACCAAATGAAAATGGCTAATTTTACCATTACAAATCCTACAATCAATTCAATACTTACCCATCCAAGTGAGGTGCACTCTTCGTAGTTCTGGAAAAAGAAAAATAGACTTTTTAGTATTATTGGTATTTTGCAACATATAAGTGATTGCTCTCTTCAATAATTGATCACAACCTGAATTTTATAAATAAATAACCAAAACAATGGTGAAAAAAAAAAAATATTGAATAAAAATCAATCACAGTACAGGACTCCTCAATTAATGCATATTTGATTAATGCGGTTTCAATTAGTATGTTAAAATTTTTATATACCAAAATATGATTAGTGCATACAAAATACTCAATTAATGTAGTAAATCATTTAATTTAACTATAGTAACTGAAAATTTATTTTTTATAGTTACTGATTAATTAAAAAAATTTAAAAATTTAAAAATGGAAAACTCTTTTGTTTGTCAAGTATTATGTTATCTAAGTAATTACAGGAGTGTTAAAAAAAAAGAAAGAAGGCTGCTTATAAATAGATCAATTTTATAATATAAGCCGATAATAAAAATGCATATTTGAATATTTGTTAATTAAAAATTTTTTTTGAATATGATTTTTTTTCACGTTTATTGTTAAAAGAAAAAAATAAAGGAAGAAAATGGACAATTTAATTAGATACAGAAATTTATATTTATTGAAAAATATCAAAAAATAAAAGATGTATACATTTACTATGGAATAATTATAAATAAAATTTTCAGGTTAAAATACTAATGATTATTATATGTTTGAAAAATGTTTATATGAAAAACAGAAGAATACCATGTGGCAAACCCCTCTTTCTAAATAATTTTTTTATAAAAAAATCAGATTAATAAACATTAATTCATAGCATTTTGATTGTGTGTTCTTATATGTACCTATATTTAATTAAAAAATACATGAAATAGAAATTAATTGTGGATGTACTAAAATTTGAGGTACAAATTACATCATTTCCTATAAGTTACAATATTCGATTATCTTTTAATGTACACATTAGCCACACTAGCTGAGGGATTCCTGTCTACCATATAGAATGCATAAAACATTTCTCAAGAAAACTGACTCACATGAAGAATTGGGATCCATTAGTATCTTTACCCCGATTGGCCATAGAAAGCAGGAACTTTTGATCATGTTTGAGAATAAAATTTTCATCTGAAATTACAATGTAGAAAAGGAAGATGAAACTGCAGATAAACAATTGAATGGATTCATTATATTAAATGATAGGGGAGTGGAGAGAGGACAACTGCTGAAGTCAAAGTTGATCAAGATATGCCTGGGACAACCAATTACTAAATGTATATATATATATATATATATATATATATATATATATATATATATATATATATATATATATATATATGGTTGTGTGTATACCTACCAGACTAAATTGACCAGTAGTAAAATATCCAAACTACATACCAGCAATACGTACCAGGAAACACTCCTCCATATATTGATTCTCCTCCTGTACCATCTCCTGAAAAACGAAAGAAAACGCATGAACAAAATTGGCTTACTTCTCCTTTTAATGTCCAAATTGAAAAAGAAATTATTCCCAAACATGATCTATCCATGCATGACAAATTTTAATAAAATTTCTTAAATATACAGGCAGGTAGAAAAAAATAAATATATTGTTTAATAAATAAACGGAACATCTACTCAAATACAAGTATCCACTAAAAATAACTTTTAAAGTGATAAAATCTGTTAAATTAATAAATAAAAAATCCATCTTCTTTAGAAATTGCTTTGTCTATGTTTGAACACAAAACTAAGCAGATGTGAAAAATTTCTAGATGTGAATGACAAGAAGAATGTCACTTAAATATACTATTCAACCTTGCCCGAGCAGCTAAATTATTGGTAGCTCGGTCAGTTGGCAGCACAACAGATCTAACAACAGTTCCATCTGCCCAGGAGTATGCAAGTTCAAATCCTTCCAGAGAGTGCCCATCTTCTTTAATAAGGTCAGTAGGCAAAAATAAACATACTGGTTAACAAATAAATGGAGTGTGTACTTAAATAAGAGTATCCACTAAAAATATCATTTAAAGTGTTATACTCTGTCTGCCACAATGTATATAAATGACAAGCATATATAACTAATAACAAAATTTCTTAAGTGAAGCATTATCAAAGCTAAAGGAGCTAAGTTCACATCCTGCTGGAGAATTCTTTAAATATGATCCATGCTCCTTACATATTAGTCAAAAAATAATGACCTGATAGTTGTAATAAAAAAAAAAACAACAGAAATAAAATAAAAACAAAGACTACACATTCACATATTTAAAAACTATGTGGGTGTAAATGCTGTATTTTTTTTTTATCTTATTAAAAACATACAAGCATACCATGCACCCCATGCAAGGCAGTAAAGCCACTAAGGCACAAGGGGTTACAGGGTGTGGAAGAATTAGGAACAGAAACATTAATAATGAGTGGGAAAAGAAAAGAGTAATCAGGAGGACAGTAGATAAGGATTGACATTGCATTTAAATTTTTTGCAGATTAAAGCATGGAGCCAGAAGGGAGTTCCACAAGTGAGAAAAGAAACTGTTAGCATAGAATATAGTTACATTTAGCCAACTCAACTGTTAATTGATGAAAACCCAAAGCCAGTATAGTACTGCACTTAAATTCCAAAAGTCTAGGTACTATAGTGAAGAACTCAGCCAAACAATTACCATGAAAGTATTTATAGCAAAGGCACAGAGAGACAACTTTATGGCTGTGGGAAAGTGACTGAAGATGAGCCTCCAGATCAGGACCAATAATATGGATGATTCTTCTTTAGATTTTATCTATGCAAATATATAAATAGTTTTATTCTGTAAAAAGCTATAGCTTGGTGTCCACTATCCAAGAAAAGTTCCTTCTCTGAAGAGCTTTACTGAATGGTAAAATGACAAGATCTATTTTCTACTGACTTCCAATACAACAATAGGTAGATTTGGTTTAGAAATGACACTAAGTAGAGAGAGGAGGAGAACAAAGGACAGAGAGAGGGGAAAAAAAAAAAAGAAATTTACAAACAACCCTACCTTTTGTAAAGTCTCCACACTGGATCATGAAGTCCTTGACGACCCTATGGAATGGGGCACCTTTGTAGTGAAGAGGTTTTCCTGTCTTCTGTCCCAGCCCTTTCTCTCCTGAGGGTACAGAAAAAAAATTACCACTTAATGTCCATGTTTATTATTAACAAGAATTCCAATAAACAGATTCACTTGTGAGTATTTATATGAAATGAAAAATGTGTTATATTAAATGAAGTGCTCAGTTACGGTTGTTTGTTTACTGTGACATTTAAGCAAAAACTTATGAAAAGACAAAAGAGATGGAATAAATTATTATTATTATTAATATTATAATGATGATGCTGCTAGTTCTGCTGGTAGTACAATAGTTATCAATGTAGAAAGTGCAACTGTTGAGCAGAGTTAAAACTCCACTCTAGTCTTTGGGAAAGGCTATGAATTCATTTCTTATCGCCCATCTATGGGTTAAATAGCAAAGTAAACTGAACTCTCTTGCTTTGGATGGCAGTTAGTCTAGGACAACTCTAAATCAAAAACTGGAGACAAGGAAAAGAAACCATTCCAATATCGTTCCCAAGATGTAATGACAATTTGCAGATAATGAAAGAGAGGGATCTGTGAAGAGCATCCTGAAATATTATAACATTAACAAAAATGTAAATATTAGGTTGTCCTAAAAGTTTGTAAACACTTGCGAAAAATTGAATTTTATGCAATTTTTAATTGTTTTTTTACATTATTATTAATTTTGAAAAAATTTTATTTCATTAAAATTTTTATTTAATTGTTTTTTGCATTTATATTGTTATAGTGATCTTCATCTTTGTATTCCAGATAGCAATTGATAAATGAGCTGCGAGTTTTGATTCGTTACTGCTGGAAGCGAGGTCTTTCAACCAGAAAAGCTGCAGAAGAGATTTGTGCTGCCGAAGGTGAAGGAACAATTGCATATGCGGCGATCTCAAAGTGGTATAAGTGTTTCGATTCTGGCGACATGAGTCTTGAAGATAAGCTTCGTTCAGGATGGCCGTTAAAGTTGGATGATGGAGACTTGCAAACCAGGTTGGACATTGCACCTTCATCGAGCACTCGAGAATTGGCTGATGAGCTTGGAGTTGGCAAATCGACAATTCACCGACACTTGAAGCAACTTGATTTTGTTCACAAAAAGCCGCGCCAAGATCCACATGAACTCACCGAAGCAAAAGCCAACAGACGAGTTGAAATTTGCCGTCAATTGCTCAGCAATCCATTGGACGAGCGTTTTTGGAAGCTCATTGTGACATCGGACGAGAAATGGGTCTATCTGGTCCAGCACAATCGAGACAAGTGATGGGTTCAGAAAGAGCAAGAGACACCGTCGGTTCCAAAACAAGATCGATTCGGCAAGAAAGTCATGTGCGTTTGGTGGAACTTTGAAAGAATCTTGCATTTTGAGTTTGTTCCGAATGGTCGTGCCATCAGTGCCGGACTTTACTGTCAGCAACTGGAGCGGGTCTACGAAAAGTTGAAGCAAAAGTACCCGGCTCTGATCAACCGAAAGCGCGCTTTGATGCAGCAGGACAATATCAAGCCACACACCGCCAGGAAGACCAAAGACAAGTTTGAATAGCTGGACGGCTTTGAGGTTCTGCCACATCCAGCCTACAGTCCTGACTGTGCTCCATCAGATTACGGCCTTTTCTGCTCAATGCAACACTTTCTGAAGGGCCGCCAATTCCACTCGTTTGATGAAGTCAAGGAAGCGTGTCAAGAATTCTTTGATTCGAAGCCGGCTGAATGGTACTTTCACCAGATCGAAAAGCTTGCAGATTGATGGCAGAAAGTCTTGGAAAATGATTGTCTTTATTTTGAGGAATAATTTTTGTTGTTTTTGTTATTACTTGGCGAGTAAAATTTCAATTTTTTGCAAGTGTTTACAAACTTTTGGGACAACCTAATAAATAAATAAAAAAAAAAAACACTGCTCTTGTTCTATACTTATCTTATGAACTCTGAACAAATTTATATTTATCTACCACTTTTGTCAAACATTTCTTTAGTACCCTTCAAAAGACAACAGAGAGAGAGGAAAGAGTGGAGAGGGAGGAGAGAGAGAGAGGAAAGAGTGGAGAGGGAGGAGAGAGAGAGAGGAAAGAGTGGAGAGGGAGGAGAGAGAGAGAGGAAAGAGGGGAGGGGGAGAGAGAGAGAGAGAGGTGGAGGGAGAGAGGGAGGGGGGAGAGAGAGGAAAGAGAGAGAGGAGAGGGAGAGAGAGAGAGAGAAAGAGGGGAGGGAGAGGGAGGAGAGAGAGAGAGGAAAGAGTGGAGAGAGAGGGAAGAGACTGGAGAGGAAAGAGAGAGTGGGGAAAGACAAAAGAGTTTTCAACTTAATACTATGTTCCACATATACATACACTCCAAATTATAAAAAAAGGAATATAATTAAATTATTAGTTAAACCCTCCCCATTCCCAGAACACCCCATTCCAGTTTTTTTTTTTTTTTTTTTTAACTTAGTCAGGATTTTTATGTCAATACTATGGAGTGAAAATATATAAATGATTGAAATTTTTTTTTTAATTAAAAAAAGCTTTATCTTAATGTCACAAAAAGGTAGTTCATTATTTGTATTCCAGATTGTGATAAATGTTCTGTTACAACACTACAGCAAGTTTATTTTATCATCCCCTTTTAACTTGGGTTCAAATTGGATCAGTGTTCTATACCCTACCAATGAACACTAATGGATATGTCCCAATCATCATAAATATGTTGAACACTATTGTAAGTGGGGGTAATATGCTGTGTAAGTAGTGCACCACTAGCAGTGGTTTACCTACTTCATGCTGCTGGCGAGTATTGTATTTTGTTGATGTTATAAAGATTTCCACTTCATTTCCAACCTCTGTTTTGGTTATTTCTCATTCAGTAACCTTTTCTAGGTTACAACAATTTGGTGACGAGGATGTGGCCAAAATCCACGTCGAAGGGAGATCACCGCCCTCTGTGGGATCAGGTTGAGATCATAGACAAAGAACACCATTGGAAAATTTGTGAACTTAAGGAATCAGCACATATGCTAGGCCACAAAAATCTCCTGAGCCGACCAAGCATAGAAATAAACACAATATGGGAACCAGTAACAAGGAGTGCCAGAGAAAAGCGATAATAACTACAAAAATTGCAATATGAGCTCTGGTAAAAACATGTAATGATAACAGCAAAAATTGCAATATGAGCACTGGTAAAAAACGGTTGCTGAAGACATTAAGTTTATAATACAGAGATATCCTCAAGGACACATGGTACAGCCGATAAAGGCGTTAGTGACAGGACCCAAAGAGTGTGAGTTCAATACTCAGTTAAGGCAGTGGAGAATTTTCAGAGGGAAATTAACAGGAGATAACTGACATCCATTAAACATGGCATGTGGAACTAGAACAGTCTACCCCAGTGAATGAAATAAAAGGTTCAGTTTGACATTCCAACCACTTGAAGAAGGCCGGAGCGCACAACGGCCGAAATGTTGTAATAAATATGGTGGCAAAGATGAGGACAATAGTCCGAATAATGTAAATAATGAAAACGTTGAAATTAAGACTGTCTATAATGAAAAATACAAGTAACCATTTTGGAACAGACTGGAGGGATCAGTTTAATTTACGGAATAGTGCAATCAGTTTGTTTTGTCAAGAAGTTAAAGGTTTTACCAATGAAGCAGAAAGTTTAAAGAAGGAATTGAAAATTTAATTCTCAGATGTATTTTCTGGTAAGTTAGTCAGGTGCAATAAAATGAAAGCTAAATTTGAACTAAAGGGAAATGTACAACCGGTTTTCAAAAACGAATGTACCCTTTGCATTATTAAAACAGATCAATGATAAGCTTGACGGACTCAAAAAAAAAAAAAAAAAAAAAAAAAAAAAAAATGGGTGTTTTATCTAAAGTTGACTATAGCAATTGGGCTTCACCAATGGTGTGTGTGTATGTATGTATATATATATATATATATATATAAAGAAAAAGTCTAAAGAGCGATGTGTCTGTGCAGATTTCTCCATGGGCTTAAACAATGCCCTCAAAAGTTATTATTACCCACTTCCAGGGCTGGAATTTTTTTGTTCAACTTAGCGAAGGTCAGATATTTGCGAAAATCAACCTAAGTGACACGTATCTGTAGATTGAAGTGGACGATGAATGTTCCAAATTACTAACAATAAACACATATTGAGGAATGTATAAATTTAATCATTTGGCAAGTAATGGATAAGATGCTTAGTGGACTTGACTTTGCAGATGACATTTTGCTGAAAAATGGAAACCCAGAAGAACACAAGAAAAATGTTTTTGACGTTTTCAGAAGGATTCAGGACTATGGCTTCAAGCAGAAAGATGAAAAATGCAAATAAAATCAAATATTTGGCACAAATTAATTGCTAAAAATGGCATGAGACCAGATCCAACATGAGCCAGTGGTATGAAAGACATGCCTGCTCTTAAAATGTCAGCTCCCTACAAAGTTTCCAGGGTTTGGCAAATTATTACAACGTATTTGTGCCAAACAGGCATTGTTTGTGAGCTTCACTAAATGAACTATTAAAAAATAACTCTAAATGGGTTTGAATGACGGATTGCCAGGAAGCATTTGAAAAAATTTTTGGGATCATAATGTGTCAAAAACAAGTATGATCTGAAAAAAGAAATAATCGTAGCAAGTGACACTAGTTCATACAGAATACGAGCCTGCATTATGCATAAACTCGAAGACAGCTTGATTAAACCTATTATTGCACACCTGTGACACACTCTCTGGTGGTCGCGGCGCAAATATGTGACACTGCGCTGTCAGCTTATGGTCAATTCCCAGTCGTGACGTGAAACTGTAAGGTTTCTTCCACCAGCATTTTGGGGTTGACTCTTCGTCGCTGCCAACAGCCTGTGTCCCAGTCGATCTGTGGACGTTCCCAGTTCGATACCAGCTCCGTCATTCCCGTCTCACTTTCAACATCTGGTTACCGAAGTAACTGCTTTGGCTTCAAGTCTAACCTACCCACGTGACTGATCTTAGGTAGACGAGATCAATCAGGCATCGGGCCGTAGTGTAAATTGAGCCCAGACTGAAGGTGATATCGCACAAG